GGGGCTTGCCGACGAACTCATTACCGCCGCTCTATGCTCTCGCCCTGCTCGCTTCCCCATCTCCAGTGCCCACGGAACTTGACACTTTGAACGTTAAAATGGGCTCATACGTACCTGAAAATATAGAAATGTGGACTGATAGTCTGCGAGATGTCTTCATTGCATGGGTGGGCGAGTGAAAGCGTTTTGAATGCACGTTTTTTCCTGTAGGCTTTATGACAGCAATGTGCTCATGTCTGTAGTTACGTTTCTTCATTTCCTATTTCAGACGCGTGGTATAGTGTTTCTTTGTTTTATAATACTACTTTTTTTTCATTTGCATATCCACTCAGTGCTTCCGTTACCCCTATCTGAATTTCTGTCTCGTGTACAATGTTTTGAAAATGTTTTGTTCTTTGAGTCACGCGTTATTTGCCATGACTTCTACCTTTCTTTCGCGTTGCGTTGCTCTTTGTTCTTCGCCAAATTTTGTATTTCACAAATTCCTCTTCATTTCCAAATAATCTTTACATTTATTCCATCTTCTCTTTATGGGTATTTGCATTTTCTTGTTTTCCGTCTCGACATAATTCTTAATCATAGATGTTGGTCATAACGTAATGTCTAGAGCAACATTCTGTTCTGTAATGTAATATAATTTGCCTTTGAGTATGGGTGTATCTTTGTAATCATATATGTTTTGTGTATGGTATCTCTGGATGTCTGGAGTAAGTCTTCGAGTTTTACTGTGTTGCTGAGCCCCTGTTGTACGGCAGGTGCTCCTGTTGGATGACAAGTAGGCAAACTTTGCTCCAAGACATGAATACTTCGCGGGTTACATAACCTGCCCCGCGGCGCCGTTCGCGTCGAGCTGTGGTCCGAAATCACATGACGTAACGAATTAAAAGAAAATCTACAATATTTATTTGAAGATATTTCAAGAGAAAAGTTAATTTTTGATTTATAGCACCAATCGTTTTTATTAAGCCTTATAATTTGTTTCTTGAAACATTTTGTACATAAATGGTCTTTACATAAAGCTCTGACACATTACACAACACTTAACACAACACAATGCACTACACACTATTCATTAATTAAATTTCATTTCATTAATTTTTTGCAAATTAAAAAAAGTACCTCTATACATTATTTACCTGATGATGAAGACAATAGAGCTTCGAAACGTATTTTCAAGACTCTTTGTGAAATAACTATGTTTATAAACTGTTAATTTTATTTCAAATGAACTGATTGTTTATAATATAGTGAAAAATGATTAATTAAAAAACACTAATAATAATACGTGCATACACGATTTTAGCAGTTCTTAAATAATTCACTGTAGCTTATACTTTTGGCGAAATTTTGGTTAAAAATGGGACATTTGAATAAAGTAAGTGGTATATAGAGGGACACTTGACAAATTTTACAGTTTTGTGTTTTTTGAAGCAAGGGTTTGAGTAATCAAGTTTATTTAATAATTTCTTTTAGCGTAAAATACTATTTATATAAAAAAATGAGATTTACTCATTTCATCACTTCAATTAGACTTATTTTCCATGTGCTTTAATGAATAATCGGCTAGCCCTCTTTCCCTTAATATGTCTATGATACACAATTTGTGGGTAATATTTCTGTTCGGCAATGTTAAGCAGAGTTAATCATTTGCCTCATACGTAGGCCAACTGACGAACCCGATCATCTGAAGAGGGTGTAAACCTGCGCAGGGAACAAAAATGGGAGAGAGATAAAACGAGATACGTGCAGGGCAATAATTTATTGCGACTTGGGTTGAGAAAGAAAGGGCGAAAAGAACGAAAAGGAAGAAATAAACTAAAAATAAACAAAGTACAAAACTAACGAATATGTGCAAAACATTGCGTCAGAACATGTGTTAAGATACGGTACGAATTATGAAAAGAAGAAATAAAAAAATAATTTAAAAACGAGATATGCGCACGCAGTGAAGCAAGCTTCAGATCGCGCGGAGAAAGAGCGCGCGCAGGGCCCGGAAATGAAATAAATAAAAAGAACTGAAAAGGCGGCGGCGCTCCCCGCAGAGCGGATGTCCGCGGCGCGCGGGCGCGTAGACATGCGCAGAGGGCGCTGTCTGCGCGCGGCTCTGGGCGGCGCTCGTTCATCGCTGCGCCGGAGACTTTTAGCGGCTCGCTCGCGGCAGCCTCTTTGTGGCGCGCGCCTCCCCCTCTCTCCCCCTCTCTCCCACCCTCTCCCACCCTCTCCCTCCCTCCGCTCGTGCTCTCTGCCTCTCGTGGCTTCCTCCTCGTTATTTTCCTCCTCCGCTCCCTCTTTTGCTCTCTTTTCTTCCTCGTCCTTATTGTCGCCTCCCTCCTCGATCTCCACCTCCACGTATTCCTCTCGTTTGCCAGGCGAATGCCGGAGCAGTAGCCTAAACAAACCGGTCACGGATCCCGCTCCTTCCTCTTCCTACTCCTTGTCCTCTCCTCACTCCTTACACACACGTACACTAACATGCACCACACTGCCTCACATGCCGGGGGACCGGCCGGGAGCTTAGAGCTTGTCCTTGAGATAGCTGGTTGAGGAAAACCCCTCTAGGGGACAGTAGGTCGGCGCTGGATCTCGCCATCCAGCGGGGGTTATCACCGCCACCTCCGGGGGGGGGGGCATGCGCTACAGTTAAGGCACTAATGACCTTAGCATTTGACGCATTAACAGTCAATTAGTCCTCTCATCTCGTCTTCTGCTTCTCCCCTACCTTTCCCGTCGCCCTTTTCTCCTCTTCTTGCAGCCTTTGTGCACCTCTTGCCCCTTCCCTCCCCACCCGCCCCCTCTGCTGCTGCTGCTCCCGCGCAGCGCCGCCCGCAATAAGAGCTCCGCTTATTTTATTTCCCTCTGATAAAAGCTCACTCCTGAATGGGTTATTTGTCGGGGCAATTGCGATGAATTTTACGGGCGCAGATAAAGGAAATGGGACTTCACGTGTAAGCCGTTCGCGCGGCGGGCGCGAGGCTCTGCGGAGGGAAGATTGAAGCGTGGCAGTTAATGTTTAAACTGCCGCGCGGCGCGATGGAGAGAGGGAGAGAAAGGACGGAGCGCTCGGGGTGGGTAGAGGGAGGAGCACACCCGTTGAGGGAGGGTGTGGTGATGAGATGCAGTGTGGGAAAAGAGTGAGGAGGGAGGGCAGATATCAGTGTGGGCGGGAAAAGAGGGGTAACGAGGAGTCAGAGAAGAGGAGAGGTGTGTATGTGGGGTGCGTGGGTGGAGTGTTGTGAGGAGAGAAGAGCCTTCGAGAGAAGGTGCGATGATGGGGTGGTGAGGTCAAGTGCGGAGAGCGGCGGGAGGGCGGGTGTTGTGGAGGGAGGACGCAGCTCACTGGGTGGAGGGAGGAGCAGTTTAGACAGCTGGGATGAGGGGAGGGTCAAGCGTTGCCAGAAGCGAAAACAAATAGCGAGTAGGAGTGGTGGTGGAGAAATGGAGGGAAGTGGAGGGAGGGTAGGAGGAAGAGAAAAGCTAAGGGATGAATTACGCGGTGCAGTACGTAGGGCTGAAGTTCCCGCTGATGCACATGGGCATTGGTAATTGAATTTGCAGAAACGGTAGGGGCTTCCGAGTTGTACGACCGACGGTTAGGGAGGCAGGAAGGAGTGCGTATATTTGGTGTCCAGTCGGGCACAGATTTGAAATGGATGGGCGGATAATGAGTTTTGGGTCCGAGGTGAATAGTCGGGATACACGAGAATGCAAAAGGATCCTGTGGGTGAAGTGAGGCAGAGTGATAAAGGAATGGCAAGAACGAGAATGGAACAAAAAGGCAGAGAGAGCTGGAACGCAAGGGACATGCGATAAGTACGATAGGAAACGCGGGGGTCGAAAGAGCGTAGGGAGGGGCAAGGATTTTCTACACATTTGCGACACAGCTGACTGATGGTGTGGAGTTAATTAGGGTAATGGCAATCGCCCCATAAGATCCCATAAGATTTCCATGCGCGAGGATAAGTGATGACAGCAATGAAAAGAATGTTGGTTAGTGATTTTTTTGCTGCCTGTTGGGGCGTTAATGGGCGGGAACGAGGTGAGGAACGGGTTGAGCTCGTAAAGGGAGTGAGCGAATGCAGCGGTTGGGGCTCTGAAGGTCATTTGGAAGAGGGAGGGAAACAGAATTGCGTGGAGAACGGGTGCAACACTGGGACTCGTTTGCGGGGGACGGCGAGGGAACGTAGGCAGGGAGCCATTGCATGAACGGGGGGAAGCGGCAGGGGGGGAAATGAGACGTCGGGAACGGTTCGCAAATCAGGGAGACGGTGTCGTAGGGACGGNNGCGAAGCTGCGAGGGCAGAGGCGGAGCAACGCGGCTGTGTGGGTTTTAGGGGGCGAGGGGGCGGGCGCTTCTTATCCTAATGGCGTCGTTGGGAGCGCGGAAGGGTCTTCATTACGTGCGACTCGTCTTCGCGGGCGCGCCCTCTCCACGCAGGCATTCGTTAGCGCGTTTGCTACCTTCCCTCGGAGGCGCTCGGGCCCTTTGACACCTGTTCGGGCCGCCGCTCGCAGGCGATCTGCGCGACGGGCTGCCAGTGTGTTTCGACGGTTGACTAGAAGATGCTGGGCTCGGTCTATTGTCCGTTGTGGAAGAGAGGAGTGGATTTGACCGAAGGTGCCGTGGAATGATTGTGTGCTTGCGGAAGGCGCAATAACGTGAATGGATGATGTGACAGGGATCGACATTCCCTGATTATTTGATTCCATTTTATAAAAAAACTTTTTTTGTGGTTAACAGTATAATACACGACGTGGATTCCTTTCTATATCATATTAGATAAATCAAATCATTTCTTATCGTATATCACCTGTAAGTGCATTGGAACAATCTAAGTAACGTGTTTTCTTTAATATAGCGTCGACAGTGTGAAAACTCCCTGTGTGTTTTCCGCAATCACCGAAATTACGATGAGTATTGTCACAATAGCGTGTCGATCATGTGACTTATAAAGCTCTGTGATGTGCTGTAGGTATCGTGATGAGTTCTCTCAGTAGTATAACATAATTTATTTTGGCCGGGGATTTCACAAAAAGAACTTTTCTGCATGCAAACCCAAATCCATGATGATCATGTTATTTAATTTATTCTTATGAATCCACAAAGGCAAATAACAACAAAAGTGTAGCTCAAATATTGCGTTTAAGTACTGACTCCGTTCTTTGCTTTTTGAACACCAATCTATAATATGATTCTCTTGCATTCTTTTATTCTCAAATTCTTTCTAAATTCTCTTTTAAGTTACTCGTAACTACAATTAATTTTGGAAAAGATAATTTAAAAGCTGTGCAATATAATTCTAGACTTCTGATTATATGTCGGGGAGGGACAAAAAATGATAAATGAACTTGAATATTGCTAAGAAAATGGAAATACACGGGAAGTGAAGAAAAGGGATTTAGTGACTAATCTGCGTGTTAATTCTCAACTTATCAATGTTACAACTCAAATTAAATGGTGTAGATGGAATAGAACTTCAAATGACTTGAATAACATTTCGTAACGACTTAACAGAAACAATCTCTGATACAAAGCGATTCATTGACCTTAGTTATTGCGAAAAAATATATTTCAAAGGTCGCATTAGCTTCGGTTTTTGAATTTGATCTGTGTGAGAAATATCACGGGTTATTTTTATTGAGAAATATTTTTAAATTCCGAAGATAATTCAATTTCGAGTCAATATCCAATACGATTGTTTTGTTTATTCGCTTCCCTTTCGTACTTCTTAGTATTTATCGAGAGCCCGTGCTTTACACCTTTTACAGCAGTGTTTAAAATATCCGAACCGTAGGCTTGGATTTTCCTGCATGTATATTTACATTTTCGAAACTCGCAGTGTACGTAATTATTCGAAACAACTTTGTTTGGTGTGGTACATTCGGGATACGTTCAGTGAATAAACTTTGCGTATTTATATTCGTTTTGAATTTCGCGCTGAGAATATCCGGGATTCTCGGATTACCCTGCTCATAGGTAAATATTTTTACATCATTTTTTCATGATTTGGGTGTAGTAACACAACTGTGTCGGAAACAGTATTTATTACGAGTACGGTTAACCCAGATCTTAATCCTCTTTTAACTCCGCCCTCGAGCGAATGATACGTAAGGTATTATCTTGCGAATTTGTGCGTGTATGCTTACATGCACGTATAGTAAAATCTGTCTCTAGGAACGGTGTGTGCCTCATAGTGGGCAGTTGAAAACATCGGCGAGATTTTTTCTCTCCTTCACATCTAATGTTACGCAACGATGCTATCCTAACGCCAGAGCAGTAGCGTCAGTTAGAACTACGAAATATAAGAAGGCAAAAAAGAAACGAGTGAAGTAAAAACAAGAAAAAAAGAAAAAAAAAAAAAACAGACGGGTGGCCCGAAATTCTGCAAAAGAGTACACGCAGGTGGCGGTCACCGCAGGAGCTGGTGGCGGCCGCTGGTGGTGCTCTC